CGCAATGATGGTGCCAACTTGGGCCAGTGAAGCAACATCCTCCACAACCAGACTGAAGAACAAAACAACAGCAACTTGTCTGTTCCCCTCCCCCAATTTCCCCAATAAAATCTTTAAAAACAAACAAACAAACAAACAAAAACCAAAAAACCAAAATGCAGGACATCTACAGATCCACCAAAATGAATAAAAGGAAATTAAAAAACAAAACAAAACAAAACCCATATGTAGGCATTGATGTAGAGTGTAATTCTCATATACACCTGGTGGGAGTACAAATTAGTAAAACAATCTTGGAAAACTTTTTGGAAGTATCTACCAAAGCATACTCTGTAATCAGGCAACTTCACTCTAGTAATATACCCAATGATAATTCACTATAGATGCTCATCAACTGACAAGTACAAGAAATAAAATAGCCTATTATGGTTTTTAATAGCTACAACTATAAATGAACCAAGTTTTAACAGTAAAATGTAAAAGCAGATGGTGTTATAGTCATTCAATGTTTAATATATGCCGAGGAAAAAATTATTGCTACTTACAACACGTTTGGGTCTTATAATCATCATATTAAAAGAACTCAAACATTAAAAAAGTGCATGGTGAAGGGAGAAGGGAAAGGGATTAGACAGCATAAATAGGTAACTACAATATTGCCACAGGGATATGAAAGACAGTTCAGGAATATAATTAATAATGTTGTAAATATTTTGTAGGGTGTCAGATGGTCTCATGTCTTGTTAGGGAGACCACTTCATGGGTGGGGTAGATCACTGCACTGTACACCTGAAGCTGATGTTGTATAATATTGTATGTCAACTATAGCTGAATATATATATATAGTCACGGGATGTGGAGTATAGTGTGGGAGTGGAGTCAAGGGAATTGTAATAGATATGTATGATATGGGGGGGGTGAGGCGGAGAATTGGGGGAGGGTGATTGTCACTTTGAGGGGCAGAAAGTATAACTATTGCACTGTGTTGTACAGCTGAAACTAATTTTAAAAAATGTTTATTTCACAATAAAAAAAAGAACAGCACTGTTTAGCAAGCAGTGTTTTACTGCTTTCCTTTAAATGGTTAAAAAGGTTGAACATAATGTTTGTGTTGTATATTTAATAAAACGAGTAACAAAAAATACTTAGAAACAGCTAAAAAAAANCTCATTTCTTTGGGGACAGTTACTAGAAATTATTGTTTTCTTTGTTAGTGTTGTGTTTCCTTGATTTTTCATATTCTTTGAAGTCTTGCATTGCTCTCTTCCCATTTAAAGAAGGAGCCACCTTCCCCAGTCTTTACTGACTGGCTTTAGGGGAGTAATACGTTTACTAGTCTATCTGGCTTGGGATTCTGGGGGTTTCAGATCTTTTCTATGGATGTGCCTATTTCACCCTTCTTGTTCTCTCTGAAGGGGGGAATTGTTAGATTGTATGCTTTGTCTCAATCCTGCAAAGCGAGGCAGAGTGCTGAGAGCCTCTTATTTATTTTCCCTATGTTGGTGCGCGGAAATGCCCAAGTTTGTGTGCCTTCTCCCAATCCTCCATAGCTAGACCCACTTTGTATGTATTCTCTGTAATCGTCTGCGAAGACTAGCAGTCATCATCCATGGGAGCAGGAGCAGGAGTTGGCCATGGGAGTGGGCTAAGTGAGGTGCATGGAGTTTTGTACAACCTGTGGATTTGTTGAGTAAGTCCACAGGTAAGGTGTCTCCAGTGGCTAGAGGGTGGGCTTTCTAATGGAGTCCATAAAGTGGTTAGTAAGATCCTCATCCCATTGATGAGTTCTGTGCCCTGGTTGCTGGGCTCTCAGCTTCTCCCAACCCTTCAGGCACATAGATAACCTCAGTACCCTGGGTGGGATGAGAAAGAAGTGCTCCCCTTAGGCAGTATCCACTGTGATGGGGAGTTAAGTTTTTCACTCACACATTCTCTCTTTCATGGGAGAAATTATTAGCCCATGGAGTCTCTCTTGGCACTGATCTGTGCTTCCTTGACAAATTGGTTTTTAATCTTTGTCTTAGAGTTAAGTGATTTGCACACCACCATTATAGTAGTTGAGTATTGTGAAT